AAAAATGACAATATTCGAATTTTGACATCTGACAAAGGAAACAAAACTGTAGCAATGGAAATAAATGACTGCAACAGTAAAATGGCAGATATATTATGTGACTTAACTACGTATAGAATACAAAGACAGGATGCCACATCGAGACTACAAAATAAAAATAATATTTTAGTCGACAATCTTTTTAAAGTGGAAATTATTTCAAAAGCCGAACGGAATAAGCTCACCTCAACCACCGCGTTACCTCCAAGAATTTATTGGCCCCCTAAGATACACAAAGAAGGAACACCGCTCAGACCCATTTGCTCATCCATTGGATGGCCATCATATGGTCTATGTAAATATATTGTAAATATTTTAAAAAACGTAACGGTAAACTCGGTATATAATATCAAGAATAAGCTGGATTTCAAGCACAGGACAAACAACACTTACATTTGTGACGATGTAAAACTAATTTCTTTCGATGTGGTCTCCCTTTCTCCGAGCATACCGATGCAACTGGCACTGATGTAACACAAGAAAAATGTACAATAATAAAAGAACACACTACGATACCAAAACAATTTTCTATGGAAATAGTAACATTTTATATTCAAGAAAATAGATACTTTAAATTTAACGACACGATATATACCCAGTTAAAAGGAATGCCAATGGGATCCCCTGCCTCACCTGTCATTGCAGATATCATAATGGAAAAGTTGTTGTATAACACGATTAAAAAATTAGGACGACCACCAAGATTACTAACGAAATATGTGGATGATTTATTTGCCATATTAAATGAAAATGAGGTACAAAACACACTTGACGCACTGAATTCTTTTCACAGGAATATAAAATTCAGAATAGAAATAGAGGACAACGGAAAATTAGCTTACCTTGACTTCATAATAATCAGACAAGGAAACCAATTAAAGTTAAGGTGGTATAAGAAACCAACATCATCAGGACGAATCATCAATTTTGATTCTAAACACCCCAAATCGATGACAATCAATACAGCAGTGGGCTGTATACGACGAATGTTGGAGATATCGGACGAAACTTACCACAAAGAGCTGGAGAAAGAGATTCGATCATTATTAAAAAAACAATGATTTCCTGGATAATATCGTAAGCAAATTATTAAAAAATTTAAATCGCAATTCAGTAAAGAAAGATCAGAAAACCCTACAATATTTAAATCAGTAACTTATGTCCCTCATCTGTCATAACGCCTGGCTAAATCTTGTAATGGTAAAAACAACGAGTCATGTGCCTATATGTAGGAACCACAAAATCAAAATTAAAAACTAGATTAGCACAACATAAATCTGACTTAAAACAATGTCAGCTTACAAATGTCAAAAACAGCACTCATGGCCCACTGTGCAGCTAGCGGCCACTCACCGAATTTCAACGACTCTGCGATTCTACAACAAGAACAACACTACAATAAGCGCTTTACTTTAGAAATGTTACATATTATAGGTGCAATCCCGTATTCGTCGAAATGGGACTAGTAAAACTGTTAAAAAATAAAAATTCGCTCAGAGCGAGAGAGTAACATTGAAAAGTACGGGATCGCTTTCTAGTAAAAAAAGGTAACTTCTGTCAACTTCAACATAACCTCCAAATTTTGGTTGTAAATTTTTGCTTATTTTGTATGTAAACACACTCATCTCACACATGTAAATAACCAAAAATACTTTCAAATTCATTAGAATCCACTTAAAAAAGTAATTAAATACTTTTCAACATGAATTAGCAGAGTGCACTTTTCTTTTGTTTACAATTTGGTTGCCAAACACACTACAGCTGATCGTTTGACTCATTTACCAGAATTTACCAGCAAAAAATTCTCGGACTAAGACTGGTTACTTCTGACAGCGAGAGAACCGCATTAACTCTCTTTTTTGTCCTCTCAATAGTCAGAGAACCGAGTACGGGACCGATTTCCAGTAAAATCTGACTGATTCTGACTATTTCGGACTCGTACGGGATCGCAACTAATAAACACACCGGCAAACATAAGACTGAACTACAAAACAGACACTGAAAACCAGTGATCGGACTTCTACCACATTGTGGTAGATCTACCACTTTTTTCAGCATCTACCACACAAGGTCTGAAATCTACCACCTATTCGCATTTTTGAGTAGTTTTATTTTTGCTCGACATAATTTTCTTAAGTTTAAGAGCAAAAATTGTCCAAAACTAAACACTAACAACAGGCAGAATGGGATTATAAAATAAACTGTAAAATATTAAATTTTCTCAATATTCAATTTTTCGACAGAAAACCTGATCTTATTGCGTTAAATTGCAAAATATATGATTTATAAAAATAATTAATAGCTGAAATGTTAAAAAACGGCGATGTTTGTGAAAGTATTAGCAAATTTTAGTGCATCTAAAGTTTCTAAAGCGTTGTTTACTTTTACTTGAAAATTGTCAATATCGACAAATCCCAAGTGGCGGTTTCTGGAACGTGCCACATTTGTTCGCTACATCGTGATGTGATAAAAAGAAAAACTGTTCAAAATATGTTCGAAAATTATCTTGATATGGAAGGAACAGCTTTACACGTTCAAGGAAAAAAATTGCCAAAACTCAACGCAATTTTTAGCAACTTCAATCTGACACTTTATTATACTAAAATAAATTTTTTTTTTAGATTTTAATTTAAATGTTTGCAATTTATGTGAAACCTTGCAGAATTTTTTTAATTTTTGTACAAAGTTTGATCCAAAACTGAGATCTACCACATTTTTTGGAATCTAAATACCACATTTTTTTTCCAGATCCTACCACACACATTTTTTTTCAAGTCCGACCACTGCTGAAAACTGCGCTCACTTGTATAGACACTTGCTTACAAACAAATCGACAATACCAAACTCCACGTCAAACAGTGCGGACGTGTAAATTAATGTATGTATACATTTTGTTTTTAATTATTGTTTTTTGGAATTTGTATTTACGTATATTTTATGTTTTACATGTTTGTCAATAGTTGCCCTGAGGACGGTTACCGAAGCGTAATCTAAATATATCGGAAAGAAACACCAAAAAACCCTGTGTTTTCATAAAAAATTTTTTAAAAATTGACCTCGAGCCGGCAAAATACTAAATGATATTTAATTATTTTAAATAGAAATAGAATATATCTGCTGCGCCTTCTGAACTTACTCAATATATGAATCTCGCAGCATTATTCAAAGCAAGGTTTAATTTAGCATTAGATTAATGGTCGAGATTTCCATATACTAGCTCAGAATAGGAAATTAGAGGAACGTTGAATGTGTTTACAAGTTTTAGTTTTACGTCAACTGGTAGACAATAGCATAAT